GCAGAAGAGTACCACACGTGAAAAGGAAACAAACTCCTAACACAAGCACACTACACCTCAAAGACAATCTGCTGAATGAAATAAGCCACGCAGTTCCTCAAAGTCGGCTACCGCCTCTCACATCCCTGATCTGTGGGAGCCCCAGCAGTCACGCCCATCCCCCTAAGCTGCCACCCAATTAATTACAGCTGGACCTTCCCGATAAAAGTACCGAACTTCCTGACATCTCAGATGCCACAACACTGATAAACCAGTAGTAGCACACCACACGGGAGAAGGCAAACAATCTCGATGAACGAAACATAAACCTCGAAGGCTTAGCCTGTGACAACTGACTAGGGTGTGGAGGACCCCAGTGACAGGGAGCTAATGAGCACCTGTGGCCCTTCGCAGTGAGATTAATGCAACCCAGGAGCTAACATTTGACTTGAAATCAAATGCTTTGGGGTCCACACCTGGCTTTGCTCAGGGATCACACCCAGGGGACCGTGCGCTGCCAGGGACAGAACCCGGGGCAGCCACATGCAAGGAAAGTGCCGCGCTGTACTGGTGCTTCACTGTCACTGTCCTCCCGTTGTTCTTCGATTTGCTCGAGCAGGCCCAGTAACGTCTCCATTGGAGACTTTTTTTGTTGTTACTGTGTTTGGCATATCGAATACATCACGGGTAGCTTGCCGGGCTCTGCCGTGCGGGCGAGATACTCTTAATAGCTTGCCGGTCTCTCCGAGAGGGGTGGAGGAATCGAACTCAGGTCGGCCATGTTGGCTGCGTGCAAGGCAAACGCCCTACCGCGGTGCTATCGCTCCAGCCCTACTGGTGCTTCAGCCCCACTTTAATTTAAATTTAATTTTACTATTGTTTTTTAAAAATTATTATGATTTCGTTTGGGGGCCATACCTGGCAGTGCCCACTCTTGGCTCTGCACTCAAGACTCCCTCCAGGTAGGTGCAGGGGACCACATGGGGTGCTGGGGGTGGAATCCAAATCAGCTACATGCCAGGCAAGCACCCCACCCACTGTATTATCATTCTGGCCCTATCGATTTCTACCTTAAATAAACTTAAAGTCAGCTTTGAGGATTAATAACTTGATTCAGTTACTGGGAAACTTTTCTTTGTTTTAGTTTCATACCCCCTGTCCAGGGTTTACGCCTAGCTGTAGGTGAGAGGGGCGACCATGTGTGGTGCTGGGGATCAAACCCGGGTCTGCTGTGTGCAAGGCAAGTGCCTTCCCCACTGCACTAACCCTGGGGAATATTCATTTATTTACATGTTTGCATTTTTTTTTTAGACCACATCTTGTAGTGCTCAGGGCTGACCCCTGGGTTTGTGGTCAGGGATCATTCCTGGAGGACTTAGGGGACCAGGAGGTCAATGCTAGACAAGTCAAGCACCCTACCTGCAGCACAATAGCACCGGCCCCCGTTTAAAGTCTACTTGGAGAAGCAGGTAGAAGAACCTGCTTTTTCAACTTCAAATTTCATGAAGTCTAAATACAAATTGGGTACTCTGATGAAAAGTCTGCAGCTAATTGAGATGCAAGTCTAAATACACTATTTCAAAATGTTAGAATTTAAAAAGACGGACAATGGCTCACTAATAATTTTTTAATCGACTGCATGTTAAATGGTGATTTAATATTCTGGCTTAAGTAACAATACTAAAATTAATTCTGTGCCTTTTAACCTTTCTATCATGGCTATTTCAAACTATATATTTTGTTTCCATATCACTTCTATTGGACAGTATTATTTATAAATTTACCATAATATAAAGATGTATATACACCTGCTAAAATTTAACTGTGCACTTAAAAATGGGTTTGCTGCATATAAATTGTCTCAATAAAACAAAAAATATTAAATTAAATAATACACATGTATCCATGTGAAGTGCACAGGTACATAACAATATGTCGGTATAAAAGGTTATTTTGTTGGTCACATATCCTTACCAATAATCAGAAGTGCAAAAACTCCCCTAATGGTATAGACATGCAAAATAAACTGTTTCTTTTGATAGCTACCACATTAAACTATATTACATTTACTTAAAATCACTTCCCTGACAAGCTACTGAATCTTCTGAAGTCAAGAAATCCTGTCTTGTTCATTTTTGTATAGGCCTAGCTTTTAACACAGATCAATACTGGAATAGCTGTAGAATTATCTCCTTTATCATCTGATTTCCATGAAGTCTCTGCTACTCCCACTTTTCACTGAAGGTCAGAGGTCAGAAAGGTGACCCTGTGTTGCCTAGCCTGTTCACCTAAACTTCAAAGCCCTTCTCCCACGCTATACCAAACCACTATCTTTCCCAGTGAGCAATTCCCAACTCTTCAGCGAATGCTCAAAACAAAGTGAAGATTAGTGATTAGAAGCAACGGAACCACTGGCATTTCCCCGAAACATCTAACATGCACTTTCCTGGTCTTGAGTGGGCCCTTCCTCCCGGGGGAATAACATCTGGCCTGGGAGACCTGGTGCATGTCAGAATTGTGTGCTTCTCGGGGGCTGCCTGCAGCCTGTATGCCTGAACTGTAAGGCCTGAGAACAACGTTACAAATATCCAGTGGTCTGGGCAGAAAAAAGGCCCTCTACCTCTGCGGCAGACAGCATCGTGGAAGCTCTTGCTAGATCAGAAGAGGTAAATCTTTTTGTCCCTTTGGTTTTGGAACGCACCCAGCCGTGCTCAAGGCTCACTCCTGGCTCTGCACTCAGGGCTTACTCCTGGTGGAGTTGGGGGACCATATGGGGTGTCGGGGATGGAATGTGGATCAGCATGCAGGTAGGCGCCCTGCCAGCTATTCTATCACTCCAGCAGAAGAGGTAAATCTTACCAAAATAAAACCTCCAACTCCCAGTGACACTCCTATTTGGTAATCTAGAGAAGGAAAAATAACACAGAAAAAAAAAAATGTCCAAGAAAGGGAAAAAGGAAACACTGAATCTGCTAATAATTAATTAATCCCAAAGAATTACTCCCCGTACCAGTCACTTCCCACTTCAAAACTGAAGTTGGGCAATCCGAGAGAGGTAAAGTTTCTAAGTCTTTGGAGCTCCCTTTTAATTAGGCACGGGAATCTCCGCATTCTTGCTGGAATGATCCATATTTCTGGTTATTTATTCAGCTCCCTACTGCTGCACATTACCAAACCATATGCTTTTGGAATACATCACTTCATATTTGCACGCAACCATCCAGAGCCACGGGCAATCCAGACCTTTAAGAAGTGTAAGAAAAGTTCCTGCCAAGGATAGTTTAAAGGTTAGGAAGCCTCGGACGTCAAATGCATCTTCTCGGTATGTTATTTGCAGGAGAGAAGACGGGTCATCTTCACGAAAGGCCGGTTAATTAGAAGGGTAAATAAACAAAAGACCCAAGAGAATAAAAGCCAGCAAAACAGAGATGAATATTAAAGACGCTAGAATAATTCTAATGCCTTCCCTGCCTAAAAGAAAAAAAAAATTAAAGCAATTACATAAAAGGGAGCCTTTCAATCAATCCAAAATCTGGGAGGCATTGAACAAAGGTTTACAGTGTCACCACAAGCGTCTACAGAGACGGTATTTTAGAATATATATATATATATATATATATATGTACATATATATCGATAATTTTAAATAGAAAAAAAAAGTTTGAAATACAAAACACGGTCACTGCAGAATCTGTTCACATGGCAAAACATTGGAAATAATCTCAACATCAAGAACAGAATACTAATGAAGCAAGATTCTCTTGGAGTCCATTATGTAGCTTTACTGAAAACTCTCGTGAAGTCTGTGTCACAGCATGAGAAACAGCAAGTTAAGTTTAAAAAGAAACATTATAGGAAATTACATGTGTGGGAGGACTGAAAGTTGTTAAAAACAAGAAAACAATTATAGGGAGAAAAGAACTAGCAGAAACAAGCCCACCCCCCCTCACCACACACACCCCAAAGATGTGTAGGACAGCTCTTTTTCTGTTTTGTTTTTTTTTTAAGTTTCTCTAAGGTAGGGCCCATCTTACTAACTTCTGCATAAGCTACCATTGAACTTAGCACCTACTTCACCAATGTGTTAATAGCACTTTTGCATGTCTACACTCAAAAATTATGTGTACAACATACAAAATTTATTAAGATCACTTTTTCGAAGAAGTTGTTCAAGAGTTTCCCTCGGAACACGTGGGAGAAATTGAAGACACCATACTCTCCTCCAATTCCACAAAGAACCCCCCTATTATATTTAGTCTGCCAACCGTGCAAACACCGCTAAGATCTCCATATTTAAAATACTGTGCGGCACCACCTCCTCCCCCCTCTTCCTTGTCAAATTTCTCAAAAGTTATCACTCTAACCGCCTCCCATTTGCTTCCATCTTTTTAGGATTCCGTGAAATTCGCTCCCATGAAATCCACATTGAATATTTTAAGGAGTACGGCGGAAATAATAAAATATACAAAGAAGGAGGATTTACAAGCTATCCGAGGGAGGGTACGGCGAAGTTCTAAAGCCGTCTTGGCATACTTCCGCGTCGACCGTGCTCACCACAGCACACAGGCAGGGCTCATTACTGAAATAAGGAAATAAGGAAAGGACGCGTGCATGGAAAAAAAAATATATATGGAAGAGATGCTCCTGCCAATAATAAAAAGACAAGCAAGCACAGGGAAGAGACAGACCTATTTCGGATGTCAAGACAATTGGCCTATGTTGAGAAATCAACACAGAATCAGCTTAGAAGTGAATGGCAGGGAGACTTTTGTCCCCGGTGGGTAGGTCAGATCACCGACCGACAACTGCCAGACAGACAGAAACAAGAGCTTTCGTTCACCTACTCACCGAAGGAAAGATCATACGTGTGTACCCAAGGGCCTTGCCTTTGGTATCTAGGAAACTCGACAGAATGAAAGACCCAGAGCTTGACTATGGGCCGTGGATGGGGGCGAACCGTTGGAGCGAGGCCAAGACGATCCCAGTAGGTGAGCAGGGCGACCGGAGGCGGAGGGGCCTACCTGAGCATGAGGTTCATCAGCTGCAGCCCCTCGCCCTTCAGGAAGCGCTCACGGTTCGAGCTGAGCATCAGGCAGGAACAGAGGGAGTCGAAGAGGTTCTCCATCATCTCCTGCTCCTCAGCCGTGCTAGGGTTATGTCTTTTAAACACCTGTCAGGCGAAAACGTTGGGAGGCCTGGTCACACTCAGAGAACCTTGGTCCCCTCAGCTGGCCACTTGCCTAGTCTGCCTGGGACTGAGGAAACTCTGGGTACCAAGAAAAACTCTCCTCGATTTCCACTGAAGAGATATGGAGCTTTCTGATGCGGTGAAGCAAATGGCCATTGGTTGATACCAATAAATAAATAAATAAAATAAAAACAGCACTCAGCTGGCCACTGAGTCCATGGGGTGACTGGCTCCAAGGAGGCAGATCTTTCTTTTTTTTTCCTCCCCAAATCAACAAAACTATTTTACACTGAACTGTCACCACATAAATAAATAAATAAAAATTAAAAAAAAAATCACAGAGAACTCCATAGAAGACATCAAGCTAAATAGAGAAAATAAACAAATGCACACCCCTGCAAGCACTGTCTGGTCCTGTGCTCCCCACGAGTGGGTACTCCCTAACCACCTGGCCACAGCGTGACCTGCCTCAGCTCTAAGCCGCAGGGAGACCTGGGGAGCGCTGCCTTCGCCAAAGCTAACTTGGCGCGCGGCGGGGAGGCGTTTGGACGGAATGTGCACGCTCGCACAGTCGCCTACAAAATGATCAACAATCTTGCGGGAAGCAGACCGAGCGCCTTCCCGGCGCTGGAAATTGAGTTCACATTTCAAAGCTCTGTTTTCTGGGGTTGGGGCCAAGCCACGCTCGCTGCTGGCACCAAGACAGAGCTGCATGCAAACTGACACTCAGGCACTCCCAACACTGCAGGTTTTATCCAAATAGATCTATTTTCGGTCCTGTGGGTTTTATTATATTTGGGGGTGGGCGCACAGTACAGACAAGATTTATGAGAAGAAATTCTGATGGTATTTTCAGCACGCCGGAACCTCATCTCCACTGGATCTACATTTCCGACAGTGAGCAAAGGCCCATTCCCCACTTTACTCTGTCAGGTCCCCGATACCACCTTCCTCTCTCAGGTGTCTCGAGGGCCCCTAACCCGCTACGCCGGGCAGCGTGCCTCTCTCATTGATCTGGACCCCAAATCAATAGGCTGGAAAGGAAGTGAACAACGAGGGGGTCGGCTGGAAATATCCTGCCTTTACGACCCAAGGACGAACACTGAAGCAGGGTGTGCTGCCCTTCGGGGCTGCCAAGTTCAAGATCAGAACCCCCAGAAAGTTCCTGCCACATACACAGTGACGTGTGACCATGAGGCATGCGTGGTGAGGCGGCGAGGTCCGTCCCTCCAGGGTGACCTCAACCTGGACGTCCCACGTGACTCGCCTCTCCCCGGCTGCGTCCCTCTACCTCCCACTGAAAGCAGGCCATGGGTCCGCACGGCAGACAGGAAGTGGAAGGATTACTCACGGATAACTGCTGAAGAAGCACATCGATTCCGTCCAGCTCCCCGAGCAATTCCCTGTTTTCTAAAAGGGGAAAAAAATAGAGGGAGGGAAAAGAAAAAATGAAGCTAACTGTCAGATTTTACAGCCGTCTAACACGGATACATCAGCAAACAGGATCGATACCGCTTGACAGAGTACAAAGGCTGCTCGGAGCGCGAGCGGGGGAGCAGGGGATGCCAAAGGCAAGAGGGCCGGCCATCATCGTCTGCAACAAGCCTGGTGCCTAGCCTAATGGAACGTCAATAGCGAGAGGGAGCTCACCATCGTTGTCCTGCAGCAGGATGGCCAGCACTTCACTACAGTACAGCTTGTTGGCGTCGAAAGGCATCTTTGCCTGCGGGGGGACAGGAGAAATCAGGAAGTTGTTCAGGGGCCTCATTCCTTTCCCGAGACGTTATTTCTCACAAGTAGCAGGATCTGAGTGCAGAGAAATCACAGCTGCGGATGGGGTGGACGGGGGCTGAGGGGTGGTGGTGGAAGGGTAGGTTAAGAGTGTATTTAAAGGGGCTGGAGCGACAGCACAGCAGGCCTATAGGGAGTTTTACTTTGCACACGGCCAACCTGATTCGACCCCCGGCATCCTATATGGTCCCCTGAGCACTGCCAGGAGTAATTCCTGAGTGCAGAGCCAGGAGCAACCTCTGAGTATCCCCGGGTATGACTCAAAAAGCAAAAGCAAAAAAAAAAAAAGTGTGTTAAAAAAAAAATAAGCCTCAAGAGATCATATCAAGTTGCCCACTGTGAAACCCTAAACAGTTCTACGACACTCTGCATCTCTCCCTCCCAATGTCCCCTCTTCCAGGAAGCCTTCCCATATTCCCTCCCCTTTCAAATCTAGGGTCTACTGGCTAGCAGGAGTCCATCTAATCCAGTAGGGCAGTAGTCCAGAGTGCACATTCAAAGGTGACCTCGATGAACAGCCAAAAGTTCTGGATTCTGGGGGCTGGAGCGGGTAGGGCATTTGCCTTGCACGTGGGCAACCCGGGTTCAATTCCCAGCATCCTATATGGTCCCCCGAGCACCGCCAGGGGTAATTTCTGAGAGCATGAGTCAGGAGTAACCCCTATGCATCGCAAGGTGTGACCCAAAAAAGAAAAAAAAAATAGTTCTGGATTCTGAAGACAAGCCATCTTAAAGTCATCCTCATAAAAGTAGGCCGGAAAGTACAAGACGGGAGAGAGGCTGAAAGAAAAGCAACTGGGTTATTAGGAAACTTATTTAGCCGAGTTGGATGTATTCATCACAAAGCAGCTCCTTCTGGACCTTTTTTTTTTTTTAATGCTGGAAATTTAATTTGAAATCATAAACCTTTCTGCTCACGTGCCACAATTGCCCCGCTATTGAAAAAAGAAAACCGCATTAAATATGCAGAAACGCGTTAATATTTTAACACCCAAATTACTACCCACAATTCTTCCCCTGTCGCATGCTCTAGCACTTGGAGTTTCAGAGGGGCCAAGCAGATCCAGGACTCTCTCGGGTGCCAGGCCACACCGTCACTTAAGTGTGTGTGTGTGTGTGTGTGTGTGTGTGTGTGTGTGTGTAGGGGGGGCCACAACACTCAAATATCACGGCCCTTAGACATGGGTGCAGAAGAAATAAGACTCTGCCTACTGACTCCCCGAACCATCAGTGCGGTGCGGTACAGTGAAACGCAGTGGAGATAATGACTGTTAATCAGCTGCTGCCCTGCTTACCCATCCAGATTTTCAAAATGTCAACTGCTTCTGTATCTGGGAAGGATGGGAGACGTGCTTCTCTCGGAGCTAACGCCTCCACCACCTCAGCGCCACTCCCAGCTCTGCTGGCGCATAGATTTTGTACCCGACGGGGAGACAGTGGCCCCTCGTGAGAGGCCCAGCCCCTTCTCAGCATTCCGCACAAGTCCTCCCGCCAAGCCTCCGAGCGCTCTGTGGGCTTTCGGGAGGCTGACCAGGTAGGCCCCATCTCCAGCTAAAGATCTGTAAACGCCGGGTCTTCAGGGGAATGATGGCAAGGCAGGTGCCCTGGGCAAGCTGGAGGCCACCTTTCAGGGAATCCTGCATAACCAAGAGGGTTTAAAAGCAATTGGTGGAAATCTGATATTTTGTGTTCCCGAGGAAAGCACAGTGGCATTTGACATCTGTAGAACACTGCACGTCTTACTAGTTGGAGGTTCCTGTTTCTCTTTAAGATGGGGAAGAAATAAATCAAAACACAAAGGGTGAGAAGCCAAGGGGTTAGCACCTTCAGCAGACGTGAGCTAATAAGACTATATACTTGGGCTGGATTCCTCCGCCCCTCTCGGAGAGCCCGGCAAGCTACCGAGAGTATTCGATATGCCAGACACAGTAACAACAAAGTCTCCAATGGAGACGTTACTGGGCCCGCTCGAGCAAATCGACGATCAACGGGAGGGCCTTTACCTTTTACCTTACTTGGGCTGGAGAAATAGTGCGGCGGTGGGAGGCGGGGGGGGGGGGGGGGGGGGATGGGGGGAGATGGGGGGAGATGGGGGGGGAGCACAACACTTGCCAGACAAGCGGCTGACCCAGGTTCAGTCCTCAGCACCACATACGGTCCCCCTGAGCCCTGCCAAGAGTGACCCCTGAGCTCACAGCCAGGAGCAAGTCCTGAGCACTGCCAAGTGTGGCCCAAAGACAAGCAGAAGAAAAATAAAAGTAAAACTACATACTTAGACTGTTAAGTGAATTTTAAATAAATCAACTTACATACAGTCAGTGGCTGGAATTCTCTTTTGGGGGTTGAGGGGAGCCACACCAGCAGTGCTCAGGGGTTAATCCTGCCTCTATACCCAGGAACCACCATTTAGTATGCTGGGGATAGAACCCAGGTGGGTCACGTGCAAGGCAAGAACCCTCCCTGCTGTACAATCGCCCGGGACCCCAGGGCTAGAGTGCTTGTTGGAAACAAGATATACTTTACTGCAAGATGGGAAAAGGCACATTAGGCCTCTCAGTAAACAAGCGCCTTTGTGTGGCTGAAAGCCTCTGTCCTTCATTTGATTTCATAAACTCCAGTGCCCCAGGCAGGGGGGAGATTCTGTCTCTTTCACTAAATATTTATTGGGTACTTGCTATCTGCAAGACAAGGAATTGAACACGACAGCAAACAGGTGAATTCACCTTGTCCGGGGTCAGGCGTTTCACTCAGTCAGCACTACACTAAGTCAGCATCAGTGCGATTACGGAAGACAGGCATCTGGGATTAGAAGCACCGAGGGCTCTCGCTAGCATGGAGTGCCCTAAACCAGGCGCGAGGTACAAAGATTACTGAGGTGCCAAAGGGCAACACAGAGAATGCCCCGTGATCTCTTGGTCTCAGCCCCTGCCTACTTCTTAGTCTCATGTTATCTCTAAAGTGTAAATAAAATATCTTCCATGAGAAGTAAATCTGGAAGTACTAATACATAGCAGGTATTTTTTCCCCCCCTTTCTGATGCCAGAGTCAGAAATATCTGGGTCAGAATCTCAGCTCTCCTAGTTCCTGGCTACGTGATCTTGGTCAAATTACTTGCCCTCTAGCCTGGTTTCTTTCCTGTTGAGTGAAAAAAAACAGTCATTCTCTCATGAGGTAGCTGCATGAAATGAGCCGGAATATATGTAACAGACACCTGAGCACTGAGACCCCTTTTGTGAGAATTCCTGATTCCTAGAGAAAAATCTCAGCTTTTGCTTAGCGTCACTTCAAGTCGTTCTTAATGAGCCCAAAGTAGGTCTAAAACCTCAAAGTCATCATTTCATTACAGTTCACCCCTCCTCTCCCCCCAAAAAAAGCAGATGGGTCTTTTGATGGGAATACAGGCATAAAGGAGGACTCTAATGAAAAAATTAAAAAAAAAACAGGCACCATAACTGCCCCAGCACAGAGCCAGGGAGGCTTTGGAACCCTCGGCGGGACTCTCTGAGACCCTCCCTTGCTACGTCCCTTCCCTGCGAGCCTTTTCTCCTCTGTAAATTGGGGAGAGCAGCACCTCTTCATTTTAATTTTTTTAATTTTAATTTTATTTTTATAAAGTAGTTCACAATATTTGGTTACATTTAATATTTGAATACCAATCCCACCACCATCACACCTTCCCACCACCATATTTTGGATGTTTTCATCCTGAACCTCAACCCCTGCCCCAAAGTAGAACTGAAATAATTTATTTTGTATTGCTTGTTATGAATAATCCGCTAAAAATGATCCAGAAAGGGTTTCTTAGAGGAAAGTGTGTGAGGATTGTTGTATTTCACTCAGGGGCCATTAAGTCCTTCTATAAGAGATCACTAATGTGTCGTAAATGAGTAGCGCCCGTTCGGGGCTGTTTGTGAGGATCAGAAAGAATGCCTGTAAAACACAGAGAATGTAACACTTTGCACACGGTGGAGACTTAGTGGCGATGATGATGATAAAGACGGTCATGGTGACAATCCACTACAACGATCTGGTGAGAAGACGTGGAAAGAAACGGTGGATTGGGAAAGTGGGAAGGAAGAGAGAAATCTTTCAAGTCCAGTCAAAGATGGGAGTCTCCTAGGAAGTTTTAGTTCTGCTTTCATTGCCGCCAGAGAGGGTGGCCTCCGAGCTTACAAAATACCAAACTGCCAAATGACGAGGACAATTAGCCGGGACAAGAGAGAGAAAATTCGTTCGGCAGATGTAATCTCTTGGCCTTCACAAAGTTCAGCCCAGGGCATTTGGAGTTTCTGGCGGTGCCTTCCGTCCGGGAGCCCGGGGATCCTAGCTCTTTCCATCAGCAGAGGAACTATGGGGTCAAGTGTCGGTTTGGACTCAGCAGGTACCAGCCTTCAAACAGGATTAGGTTCAACCTGTTGGAGGCTGCTGGTGCTTTCTGGGTTTTTCTTTTAAAGTACAAGATAATCACGCTCCCTCCCGCAGCCAGAAATGGCAGGTTATTGCTGCAACTCACCTCTGGTCCCTGACTCAGACACAGCTTCAACCTGGTACGACTATCAGAGGAGATTGTGCCTGAACCCCCCCCCCCCCCCACCCCAACACACACACACACACACACACACACACACACACACACACACAGACACACCTGTTTCCCAGCCACGAGGCTCAGCGTTTAGCATCACCCAGCCGTATGTGTACTGAAACTGAGCCGGCCTTCTTCGATTCATTAGCTCATTATGTTGAATGTTTTGAGACTGTGTTTGAAACATCTGCTTTAACGGGGAGTCAAAGAGAAATCTTAATTCTGTTTCTCCTTGAAAAGGAAAAGCAGAACTTTGGGGTGAGGGGCCACTTTTAAAGAGTAAACAGTATCCTCATAAATTGGTAGTCCCCGTTTTAAAAATGAACTGTGGTGCAGTATCTCCTACAGACAGTTATCTGCTTATCCGCTAATTCATTTAATGCAATCACCCGCAATGGGCTTCATCCTCATTAGCACAAATTAGTGACGTTTCATTTAGTGGATGAAGAGATCTATGAGTATCTCTCCGTACTGCTCGGCTACTAGCACAGAAAGGAAATGCGGCAGCGGGCCACTCACTCAAGAATGTCTCGAGAACGACGGAGTGATTGGGGGGTGACTAGTTCAATAGCAGGGTTTCGGCACAGTAGGTGAGGCTGCGGATCTGAGATTCTCGGCTATTAGCATGCGCCGGAACCACCGAGAGGGCTCATTAAAACACGGACTGAGGTTCCATAGCCAGAGAGCACGATTGGAGTAAGGCTCACAAGGAACACTACCGGGAGCAATCTCTGAGCACTAAATCAAGAGCAAGCCCTGGGGCAGGAAGGAAACTAGGGAGAGTGGAAGAGAAAATGAGACCATGGGGAAGGGATTGGTCCTTGATCACTGTACTCCTGAAACTCAATCATGAATAACTTTGTAATTCATGGTGATTCAATTAAAAAAAGAAAAAGAGCAAGCACCAGGTGCTGCCCCAAAACACAACACAACACAACACAGCACAACACAACACGGACTGGCAGTGGGTCTGGGGTGGAATCCAGAATCTGCATTTGTTACAGGTTGGCAGGCGGTTCTGGTAGGGAGCCTCATCTTTTTTGTTTTGGTTTTGGGGCCACGCCCGGCTGTGCTCACAGCATACTCCTGGCTCTGTGCTCAGGGAATCACTGCTGGCAGGCTCGGGGGAACCAGATGGGGTGTTGGGGATTGAACCCAAGCTGGGCTTATGCAGAACATGCTCCGCCCGGCATTGTACCTTCTCTCCAGCTCCCGGGAGCCAAGTTGGAGGGCCCGCAATGTGGCAGAGACCAACCCCTTCTTTGAAAGGCCATGAGCACACAAAAGAACAGGAAAGCCTGCCGGGTGAAGGAAAGATGGTCCATGAAGGCAAATAGGGTTGTTTACAGGTGAACGACGGAACCCAGATCCGCTACGTTCACACGGGAAAACCATTAGGAAAAACAGGAAGTGGCAGATATTCAGAGAAGAAAGAGGTCAGCGTGTCTGGCGGGCAAAGTAGTGAAGAGCACGCGAAGAAAGGCTGAAGCCTTGGGCTTCTGTCCTCGCTCTATCCGACCAGCTATGAGTTCGAGCTTACTCCTCATCTCAGTAGGTCTTGATTTAAAATGTGCTTATCTGAGGGGGCTGGAGAGAGCGCAGCGAGTCGGGCGGCTTGCCTTACATACACAACCAAGCTGGGTTCCGTCCTCCATCAGGTCCCCTGGGCCTGCCAGGATTCCTGAGTGCAGAGCCAGGAGTAAGCCCTGAGCACTGCTGGGTATGGCCCCCGCGCCCACCCTCCCCAAACCCCCCCCCCCAAAAATCACGATCATGATCACGACCATCCTGTTGTTCGTTGATTGCCTCGAACAGGCCCCAGTAACGTCTCCTTCGTCCCAGCCCTGAGATTTTTTTTAAAAGTGGCATATTCAAGGCTCTTTCAGGGTTACAGGAGAATGAGACCCGTAATGGTTACTGGTATTTGGCATATTGGGTATGCCACGGGGAGTTTGCCAGACTCTGCCGTGTGGGCAGGTTACATTCGGTAGCCTGCCAGTTTGTCCAAAGTCGGAATGAGATAATAAGATGTCACGCGGCTGGGGTTTTAAAACCCCAAAAATAAATAAATAAAATTTGTTTATCTGAAACAGAACTTATAAATTCCCACTAAGTTTTAAAAACGATGAAGGCGACAAAGCAGATGGCAAAGTAGGAACTGGAGCTGGTTAACAAAGGCTGGAGATAATTTAGACAAATGAGAAAGCCAGGAGTCGTGCCTGGTGGAGGAAGGAGCAAAAGCAAAGACAAACAAGTCAAAACAACTTCGGCCTTTAGAGGAGAGAGGCCAGAGAGACGCCCGGAAGGTAATGAGGCCCGTGCTCCGAAATGAAAAATGGCTCAAACGGAACGAGGTACAGCGGCCCGAAAACGTCGGAGCTGATGTCGAGGGGCAGGGCTTCCGCGAGGGAGACTCTCGGGAGAAAACGGCCAAAAATGGAGTTCTTAAATCTGCCCAGGAGCAGAGCAGGATCAAAACAGCTCCCCAAAGCCTCTGTATGGCCACGGCGGGGGGCTGAACCTTCCCTGAGATAAGCCCAAGTTTCTCAGGGGGTCTGCGAGCTGCAATGTCCAGTTCAGCAGGTGAAAGGGGGCGGGGATCTGAGTTCAGCACCCTGAATACACTGTGATGTTTATGATGCTGAAGGCCACAACAAGCACCCAAATCTCGAGCTGCATGGGCAAGACACCGTGTGCAAGGACACGTCTTCTTGCTGACCAGGCCCCGGGGCAGGGCTTGGCTGGCATCAATGTTCCAGGCAGGATCGGCTTTTTCTAAGGGCAGTTGCTTACTAGTAAAATAACCAAACAGCATGTTAAGGTTTAAATACCCTGAAACCTTGGAAAACTGTTTAAGGGGCAGCTGAATAGCGCTTTATACCCAGAGGGTCACACGCGACCCTGACTGGATGAGACACCTGAGGAGCAAGACACGTTACCTTGCAGAATTAGCAGAGGGGCCTCCGGTGATTCCCCTTGGGCCAGTGGAATCCAGGCTGACCGCCCAGAGCTCTCACTTTCCCTTTCTCCCTCACCCAAAGTTCCAAAAGAGACCCTGGTGAGCTTCAACACCTTTCAAAAGGGAGGACAACCTTTGATTTCGGCTGAATAGAGGATCCTCGAATCACAACAAGTTAGTCTCAACTAGCTCAGAAAACTGATGACTGCACAGAGCAAAGAATAACCGGATTATACGGAATATTCTAAGTATTCTGCTAATAATACAAGTCCCCGCTGACAATTCCATCCCCTTCACTGTGCTTTACTTCCTTCTTTCACACGTCCCTCTCCCCGAATGTCCCAAGGCCCTGGGATGAGAATGTGTTGAGGATTAATGAGCTGGCCAATGGGCTGAGCACATACTTCACATGGGGGAGCCCTGGGTTCCATTCACAGCACTGCATGGTCCCCAAGGATCCACGGGTGTGATCCCAAAACAAACCCACCACAAAGTAAGCGCTGAATACTGAAGAAAGAAGATACTGAGGTAACTGTGAGGGAAGCCACACCAGGAAACAAGCCTGGTTCCAAAAGCCCAAAAGCTAAGGACAGCAATACTCGGGAGAGAAAGAGAACAGGGGCTGCAAGACGACAAGGTGGGGACTGACGATACCAAATGTTTTCCTTAAAGGCAAGGGTGTGTTAGGTGTATTATACTGATATAAACAAGAGACTGACTTGACATTGTGTATGTCACTGTTATATGTAAGAAGCTGACTAGACATGAGTATCACACTGATATATGCAAGAAAAAACTGACTGGACACGTTATTACAGATATATATATATATATATATATATATATACACACACACATCTACATCTATATATATATATATATATAAGAAATTGACTAGACCAAATTTTATCCTTAATCGCAAGGGTGTGTGTGTGTGTGTGTGTACATGCGTGCGTGTGTGTGTGTGAGTGAGCACTGTTCTATGCATTAAGTTTATATGCAAGGATGTGTTAGGTGTATTACATTGATATTAACAAGAAACTGACCAGACAAGAAACTGACTCTGACATATACAAGAGGCTGACTAGACATGTATGCAAGAAACAAACTGACCAGGCATGTTATTACAGATATATATATACACAAATATATATTTACATATCTATAAGAAATTGACTAGACCAATTTTTTCCTTACTCGAAAGGGTGTGTGCGTGTGTGTGTGTGTGTGTGTGTGTGTATGTATGTGTGTGTGACACTGATCTACGCATTAAGTTTGTACTGTGTGGTATACCTCTGCTCCTCATGATTTCATATTCACAACATGCTTTATTTATTTTGCTTTTTTTTCTGGTCACACCCAGCAATGCACAGGGGTTTATTTATTCCTGGATCATGCACTCAGGAATTACTCCCAGTGGTGCTCAGGGGACCATATGGGATGCTGGGAATCGAACCCAGGTCAGCCGCATGCAAGGCCAACGCCCTACCTGCTGTGCTATTGCTCCAGCCCCTAAAGACTACTTCTAAAGTCCTTTAAAAGAAACACATGAAAGAGGAAGTTATAAAAAAAGAACAAAAACCAAAAAGCCCACCAAGAGTCCCAGAGCGGGTGCTGTAGGGTCCCCGGCAGACTCACCTTCAGCCTCTTCAGCAGCCACTGCAGGAGGCCCTGCTGCGCGGCCTCAGTGCACATCTCCGGCCGGAACTCGGCCATGTTCTCCACGATAGCTGAGGGAAGACAGGGGTGGTCAGTGGGGAGGGCGGTTTTGTGTCCATCTGCGGCATTCACGCCTCCTCCTGCCGCCCTGTATCCCTCCTGGCCAGCAGGTGCCCTGTCCTGCTCAGACTAACCAGGAAGTGCTATGCTTCTCCCTTCCCCTAACAGCGGAAACTCATGCAGAGATTACAGTTCACTGGAGAAAGAAGGGATGGACTTCCAGTAGTATGTGCCAGGCAGGTCATACACGAGGGACCACGCCTTGGTTCTCACCACATCCAAGTCCCAGAAAAAGGCAACTACAGAGACAGCAGCCAGCAGAGACCTGGGGCAAAGCCTGGGAACTTTTCCTTTCCAGGCGGACCCGTTTGGGTCTCCAGTTGTTATTATAGGGGAAGTAAGCCGGGGTTTAAATGAACAAAATGCTGAGCCTATGTAGAAGGGAAAGGTCATGTGGGCAGGGCTCACTGTCGGGAACCTGGAAGCAAAGTATCTTCCCTATAACAGTCAAATTGCTGTTTAATAAAAATAAATAAATAAATAAATAATAAATTCTCAATGAGGAGGTCAAAACAAGTTATTGCAAGCCAGAGCGATAGTACAGCGGGCGGGGTGCCTGCCTTGCATGTGGCTGACCCGGACTGAATCCCTGGCACCACATAGGGTGTCCTAAGCCCCACCAGGAGTGATCCCTGAGTACAGAGTCAGGGGTAAGTCCCAAGTGCAAAACAAATAAAAAGTTACCACATGACTATTATATGAAAAAAAGCACTGTAGCACTGTCCTCCCGTTGTTCATCGATTTGCTCGAGCGGGCACCAGGAACGTCTCCATTGTGAGACTTGCTGTTACTATTTTTGGCAGGCTCTGCTGTGCGGGCAGGATACTCTCGGTCCCTTCTTGGGCTCTCCGAGAGGGATGAAGGAATAGAACCTGGGTCAGCTGCGTGCAAGGCAAATGCCCTACCCACCATGCTATCGCACCAGCCCATGAAAAAAGGGGAACATTTAAAAATAAAAAATTGTCTCCAGCCCCATGGTTGCTTGTCCTGTCCCAGGATGCTTCGGCACAGAGCTCCGTGAACCTGGAGGGGCCCCAGGACATGCTGGTTTTGGCCCGAAGGAGAGAGAAACACAGCTCCGAAACGCTTCGGCAGTCAGTCTCGGCAAGAAGTTCCAGGACGAGTGGGCAGCTCCCATGGGGGGCAGAGCACAGAACCTTGTGGGGGACAAGGGCGGTAGGAGGCTGCTGAGAGGTGGGGGCCATTGTAGCACTTCGAATTACTTCCGGAGGGAATCAGCACACTTGGAGCAGCCTCTCGTGCCTTTGCCGTCTTCTTCACCCTCCACGGCCCAGAGCCCCACCGGGACAGAAGACAGACATGCTCCACACTGTGCCAGGCTCTCCCAAACCTGGGCAAGCTCCCTCCCCGCTCCCTCTGCCCTCACACTGGTCTGCAAGGGGTCCAAACAGCGCAGTTCTTCTTTTCCCCAAGGCCAGGCTCAGGCAAGGCTTTTGCAAGAGTCGCTCCCTGGCTGGCAGGGTGGGCCCTCCCTGCTCCCTGCGCCCCCACACCCATCGGGAGACTCTCCCTCCTCACGGCCATCGAGTTCCCTGGGCCGAACCTCTCCCAGGCTATTTGTCACCCTGCGTTCTCCCTCCTCTCAGCGCGACCCAGGCCCATCCATCTTCCTCTTCAGGAGCAGAATCAAGACTAATTAATCACCACTCTCCCCGCGGGGCCTCACACAGGACCTGGCAGACCCAGAGCACCCCGGCCGGAGACAGGCCCCTCCCGGGAGCAGAGCTCCCAGGTGCTGTGCCGCGGCCCTTCTCTGGGCACAGTCAGGGTGGGCTTGTGGCCGGGGGCGCTGCCAGGCTCCGGCTGGAGACTAGCCCCTGAGCCGCAAGCTGACCCACTGCTGTCTTCTCTCCTCGGACTCCCGAGGGGCAAGGCCTGCCCCTTCCTAATAATAATCTTCAACGAGGGCAGTCGCGAAACTACAAGAGGAATCTGGGTGCACGCACAAGGAGCCGAGAGAGAACCTAATCTTATCAAAATTTCTACTTCTGCCGGGCCCCGCTCATCCCTCAAGCGCTGCTCAGAGACAGTCAGCTCTGGTTCTCCCAGACAGTCGCGGTGATAAAGGGGACCCCCTCGAAGTGCGATCTTATACAAGCTCCTGGTGTGGCAACTTTATTGGGGGGGGGATGCGCAGAGTGAAGCTGGAGGAAAGGCGGGGAAGAGGGGGCCCGGGCCCAGCCAAGGTAACAGCAATATTTCCCCTGGCAGTTTACAGGGCAAACTACACCCAAGGAAAGCAGGAGTAATTCTTTTCCAATAAAATGTCCTATAAAGGCACACTTGTTCAAAAGTGCGTTGTTCCAGCGAAGTGGAAGTGGGAAGGAAATCCAATATAAGGGGCTTACAAATTGCGGAAAAGCTACCCCAAAGCGAGAACACAGCACCCCCGAAGCCCGCCCTGCATGGGCTCCACCCCGAGTTTCGCTTCGCAGGCAGAGGCTCGGCTCAGGAGCCAGCAGCTCTGGAGCAGGAAGGTCAGCGACCACCCGGGGGCTCCGCTCCATGATCCGGGGGCTCGAGCCAGAGCAACAGTCACACAGAAGCGGACAGGAGGGTCTGAAAAGGCTCTGAAAAGGTCACTTTGGAGCACAAAGGAAAAAAAAATACTCCTGCCGTGATGTGAATGGAGGGCAGGGAAACGAAAAGGCCCCAAAACACACACACACGCAAATACACATGAACACGGACATGGACACACATGCATGCACACATAGACAGACACGCACGCAGACACACACAGATATGGACACACACACATGCACACGCATGCACACACACACACACGGACACGGACACGGACACGGACACCAGGCGGCTTACCCAGAGTGTTGTGGACGCCGTCGGCCTCTTCCTTCACAGACTCGTCCAGGCGCTCCAGGTTCTGCACAAGCAGCGCCACCACCTGTCCATCCACCTTCCATCACAGGGGGGCAAAGGAGAGGGACACATGTCACACAACTGCCCCTGCCAGGTCCCCGTGCCCACACTCCCTTCGCTCCTAAGCAAGGGCCCCAGCAGAGCCCCGAGGTCTACAGTGCCTGCTCCGTCCTGCTTTGGGGAGTGGGAGGAGGAAGAAGGAGGCCACACCCAGCGCTGCTCAGGTCAGGGCTCACTCCTGGTGGGGCTCAGGGCTCACTCCTGGCCAAGCAGGGCTCACTCCTGGTGGGGCTCAGGGCTCATTCCAGCGGGGCTCAGGAACCACAAGGGATGCTGGGTCAGCCGTGTGCAAGGCAAACCCCTCCCCGCTATGCTCTCTCGCCAACCACCCCCCACCCTCCCTCTCTCTTGAGCTGCGCAGTGACCCTCAAGCAGGGCCTGGCTGCCCTGATATCCCAGAGTTAAGAGGAGCCAATGGAAGCTAAAGGCAGCAGAGTTGATTCATGCTCACAAAGGGAGTGCAGAGAGCGCCTGCACTGAGACCCGAAAACCAACTTGAGAGTTCTGCTCCCTGGTAGCACAGAAAACCCTTCCAGACAGGCCAGCTGGAGTCAGGCCAGCGCTTCACTCAGAGACATACAGATCGAGAACAAGACACCATGAGGCTGAGTTGGGGTGTCAACTTGCTGTACCTCACACAGACCAAGATACGAGGCTGACTCGAGTGTCACTCACCTTCCGTGCAGCTATGAAATGATGGATTGTCCCCAATAGTGAGTTCGACTCTTTTTTTTTTTTTTTTACTTTAAGCAAAAGGCATTTAGAAGAAAAGTACTTTTTATCTTGCTCTGTATACGACACTGGAGGAAACTGCCAATCATCACCAGTGTACTAGGCAGACAGTGGGCGGCTGAGGGCAGCCTGCGCTGAAGATGGGTTAATGGGGATGGCGCCCACGGTCAGTGGAGAGAGGTCTGTACCGTTTCTGATGAACTCATATGCCTTCCCGAGAAGTGCATGGAAGAGCAGGGTACTCAATGTTCATACTGCATCTGAGGCGCCCAAGAGCCCTCTTTCTCTCATTCAATTCGCGAGACCCTTGGTGAGGAGACTCTCAGGAGATTTGCCTCACAGAGCTGCTACTCAAGCCTCAGAAAAGCCGGACTGCAGGACGCCAGGCACCACACTCTCGTTCTCCTGGGATTTCGCTCTTCAGGCGAGTGCAGAGCCACGTGCAGAAACTTCTGCTCGAAGTAGAAACGCGCGCTATGATCAGATCCGGATGTACACTTCTCCACTGACTCTCCTGTAAGCTTCGGTTTTTCACCTCAGAATTTCACCCCGCCCCACCCCCCCACCCCTTTTTTTTATTTGGCTTTTGGGTCATACCCAGTGGGGCTCAGGGGCTACTCCTAGCTCTGTGCTCAGGGAACTCTGTGGTGCTCGGAATCAAGCCTGGTGCTCCCATGAGCAAGGGCATGCTGAGACAGTTAAGCAATCCACCCCCCACCCCCACCCCGGGGTTCTTCATCGTTTCTTTTTGTTTTATTGAGTTGTGGGGCTACTACACCCAGCTCTGTGCTCAGGGGTCACTCCTGGTGAGGCTCAGGGCCCATGTGTGGTACCCGGGATCCAACCTGGCCAGCTGCGTACAAGGAACGCCTGACCCACTGTGGTAAAGTCAATCAGAGTGATTTAGGGAAAAATGAACTGTGACATGGCTCATATTCCTCCCCCTAGAGTTATCTCTCTCAGGCCCCCACACGACTCTTCATAGTGGTGGGAGTTACAGCCCGGGCGCTCCCTGGCCCCCAGGGGCCACACCTGTTGGGCCAATGTGGAGGGGAAGCTGAGGTTAGAGCCCAGGCTCTTCTACGAGCAAGCATGCGCTCCACCACTTGAAGCATCTCCCCCGCTGACACCCCCCGCTGTTTACGGGTGAGCACAGAGAGAGGCTAAGGAGCCTGGGCCAGGTCACAGGGCGAGGGGCGGGAATGACCCAGTCTGGGACGCGATTTTCACCATCGTACCCTCATGAGCTGGGGAGGAAGAAAAGAGGGCGAAGAAAGCGTGAGGAGGGAAAGGATTCCATTCAGCTGCCCCAGACACGCCTCACACTGAGGCTGAGCCTGACAGGGTGGCCAAGGCCCAGAGCCTGACAGGAAGTTTTCACTGCTCTTCCTGGGTCAGACTCAAGGAAGAGTCTGGAAGCCAGTGCTGAGGCCGGCATCGGGGTCACCAGGGGCTGATGTGTGCTCTCAGAATCACCAGGAAAAGGTTTTTTGTTTTTTGTTTTGTTTTGTTTTTATAGGCCCCCTTTGTTTTTTTCCCCCAAGTTTTTTTTTTTATTTAATCATTTTTTTTATTAGTGAAACACCATGAGGTACATTTATAGACTTATAAATTTTTGTGCTTGGGTTTCAGTTATACAATGATCAAGCACCCATCCCTCCACCAGTGCCCACCACAGGTCCTAGCATACCTCCCACCCCCCCATCCCCCCCATCCCACCCTGCCGCTGTGGCAGGGCATTCCCCCTTGTTCTCTCTCTCTTCTTTTGGGTACTGTGTTTTGCCAGAAAGGCATTGAGTGGCAATCATGTTTGGTCTATAGACTACTTTTAGCATGTCTCTCCCACCCTGGGAGGGAGGGTCTTCACAACACCCTTTATTTGGTGCTCTCTTCTCTATCTGAGCTTGCTTTTCACCTAGCACATGTGGCTGGTGTAGGCCCCCTTTGTGCCGTGCTGCGGGGAACACTGAAAGCCCCCAGTGGCAAGTGAGGGACCAGTCATGCCAGCACGAGAGCGCCCACGAATACAGAAAGAGCTGTTCCAATGGAATACTACGCAGCTGTTAGGAAAGATGAAGTCATGAAATTTTCTTATAAGTGGATGGTCATGGAGAGCATCGTACTAAGTGAAATGAGTCAGAAAGAGAGGGTCAGACACCGAATGACTGCACTCATTTGTGGAATATAAAATAGCATGAGGGTGACACCCAAGGATAGTAGACACAAGGGCCAGGAAGACTGTCCCATACTTGGAAACCTGCCTCCTGAGCTGGGGGAGAAGGCAGCTGGAATAGAGAAGGGATCACTAAGACAATGATGGTTGGAAAATTGTTTGGGATGGGAGATGTGTACTGAAAGTAGATAAAGGACCAAACGTGATAGCCTCTCAGTATCTGTATCGCAAACCATAACGCCTAAAAGTAGAGAGTATGGGGGAAGTTGTCTGCCATGAAGGCAGGGGGAGGGTTGGGAAGGGAGGGGGGTAATACAGGGGACATTGGTGGTAGAGAATGTGCACGGGTGGAGGGATGTGTTTGATCATTGTATGACTGAAACTCAAACATGAAAGTTTTATAACTGTATCTTATGGTGATTCAATAAAAAAAAATAAAAAGTAAAAAAAGAAATTAAAGAAAAAAATAGCTGTTCACCCTTCTTGGACTAAGGAGATAAACAGTCTCGCTCTCTAAATCTCACAGCCAGCAACAGCTTCACCCCAGAAATCCACGGCACTGTTTTCCTTAATTAATTGGACAATTTGAGTATGTGAGAGAAAACAGAGAAACGTCTGGGGGGAGAAATATGAACCATGTCACAGTTTGTTTTTCCCTAAATCACTCTGATTGACTTATAATCTCCCTGATCCTGAGGCAGAGACACCCGGCCCGGCTGGGGACCGCGCCGCTCGTCAGCTCTGCAAAATGTGTCACCAGTTTCCACCGCCGATTGCTGCTTTTATCTGCCACTCGTCTCGTACTTCCCCTGATTTTCAGTTATAGCTCCCACTTCTGCTGCCTGCAAAGTGGTGGGGACCGTGGCAGGAAGCAACGCATTCAAATCCCAGAACTGAGTGGTTATGGATAATGGGTGTCTGGCTGGAGAAAAATCTTTTCTTCTTGCTACGGAAATCTAAGTTCTAACCAATGACCTTTTTAAGCTTGCAAAGTGTGAGGCGTTATGCTTAGCTGGGTTAAATGCAATTTTTATCTGATTGCAGGAGGGTCAAAGCAGTCAAAATACATTTAGTTCAGAAAAACCTTGGAGAAATATTTATATTATGCATAGTTCTTGGATATCATCTCGCACGGAGCACAAATTAGCATTCTGGCCGACTCCCTCCTAGCCCTGTGGGTCTCCCACCTTCATGCCTTATTTCTTAATTCATTCATTTATTTTCTTGAACAGTGACTAAGTCAGAAACGGAAAATAAATCCTGCCTAGGGATTAGGGAATCAGCCAGAGCAACACTGGCTTTGGAAATTCTCACTGTTTTAAGGCTGATGTTTTCTGATAAGTCGCTGGTTGGCAAGACTTCTAAATCACGGTTTCTTAAACTTTTTCCATTTGATTCTTCTTTCACCGATGAACTTTTAAAATATGCGGTAACAGTTACATAAAATAGAAACGCAGGAGTCAGAGACAGGATACAGGGGTTGATACTCATGTCCTATATGCAGCTTGCACCAGTTCGATCCCTGGTATCACCCCCTGAAACATTGCCAGGTGTGGTCCAGGAGGCCCCCCCTGAGCATCACTGGGTGTGGTCCTCGAAGCACCTGAGTACCCCCAGGTGTGGTCCTGGAGGCCCCGAGCAGCACTTGGGATGCCCCTCAAATATAAATTCACACAAAATAAAATAGGTAAATCAAACATTTACTGATGCTGAGTCCTAACTTTAAAACACGCCGTCTAACTGTCCACATTAGCTCAGCCCTGAGGAGGGTTCCAACAGGTCCCACTGAGAGCAAACAGGAACGCGACCAGGCGCCCTCCATGCGATCAGAAGGATGGGTGCAAGAGAAGGGGCGGAACCGGAAGGCTGGCTTGGAGGGAGGTCTTTTCTCCTGAGTAACCTCAGCCAATAAACTTTCTCAACCATTAGACTGGAGTGTCTTCTCTTAAAGAACCCTAGAAATTTCATATCAAAAAAAAAAAAAAAAAGAAACTAGCGCAGCACTGTAGCACTGTCCTCCCATTGTTCATCGATTTGCTCGAGCGGGCCCAGTAACGTCTCCATTGTGAGAC